AAACTAATCAGTCCCTATAAAACACCAAAATGAATGACCCAAATATATTTAGAAAACAATTCTGTAAACTGGATCTCTGTCATTTGAGGATACATTCGCTTTACTTTCGCTTAGAAGTACATTGATGTTGTTAGCTAGTGGGGTATTGAAAGCAGATCATATGAATCCTAGGTCCTAGAAGAAAACAAAGTCATCGAAAGTATAACCATCAATATTTACCATTATATCAAATATATCAGTCTGTACTGCATATAGTAGTAGCAGTATTTGACCGTTTGAATTAACAGTGTTACCCATGTCAACGGTTAGAACTAACTTCACCAAAACCTTAGTATACTAATAGTAACAGAAAGTAAAGAGTGTAATCAAATTCCTTTGCTTAACAATTCACTAAATTGCTAACCATTCCAAGTAGAGCATTAAAACTTTCTTCACAGAGAATCTCCGAATAAACCTCTTTCTATCAGTTATCACTGCCTTTGTATTTATTTTTGTTGAGCAAAGTATATAAACACTGATTATATTTATGCAATAACCAACATATACCTTTGTTCAGAGAGCTATTCCCTTAGTAACATAGAAGCTGGTAACTACTGTATATAGGAGAATTTTTTCACCTAAGTTCAGGAAGATGACACTAAAACCTGTGAAAATCGATGAGAAGAATGTCATCCTCAGATAAATTACCAATTTTTGTATTAATAAGTTAGTCGCATTAGGCAAAATCAAGGGTGAATTTTGTAGAAGAAGATGAACCATTAGTTTTCTTGTACAATATGATCGACAGCAGTCACCTTCGAAAAACTGGAGAGCATTCTTTATAGAGTAGAGGATGATTTTCAGAAACTGAAATAAAAATGTATTTTATCCACTGGGTTATACAATTAAAAGATATATGAGTTACAGGAGTACGATGGTCAATTTATAAGTGATTTGCATTCATGGTAGTTTATTCGACTACCCAGTTGTAGAGTCAGCGAGATCTCCGTTGAGAACCACTCAGGCAAGATCACGCGTGGACCGTGACACAATTTGGCTGTATAAACCGAATTGCTTCATCTTTTGAGCTCTACTCTAAATCAGAAGAACAACAGACCAGTGTTTGGGCCACTAAAATTATCCTGAGCGATTTCTAACCACTCAATTTGTTCAGTATTATACTTCGAATTACAGGATGTTTAACATGCAGAGAAGAAAGCAGAAGAAAAGTCCTTCAGGATGTCATGTAACGGCAATATTTATGAGAAAATAAGCATCTAGTCCTTAAGAGGGATATATAGGCATAAATGAAATGTGCCATCCAAAGTTTCTCTTAATTACTCATATGGGGATATAATGATACTAGTTGAAACCAGACAGTACAGAAATAAACCTTCACTCATTTTCACGATCTGGAGGTTAACAGCTGTGAAGATGATCGTTCCGTTCAAACTGCATATTTAGTCAATCAAGTAAGCAAGGGTTATGGGCAACTTTAAAACCGATACATGATTGATAACACACTATTATTATTGTATTATTATTTGTCTCTTGGGTTCCTATAGAACATAGGGCTTCAGTAGCATGTCTCCAATGCGCTCTATTCTCTGAAATCTTTTCAACCTGGCTCCACGACAGCCCACGTACTCTCATTTCCTCCTCGCACCATCTCCTCCATGTCACCCTCACCTCAGACGCCCAACTCGTCGTTTCCCATCTGGGTCCCACTCGAGTGCCTGGCTGGCCTGACGCGTGATGTCTCCAGTCGACCTTCTCAGTGTATGCCCAATCCAATCCATCTCCACTTCCTTCTGCATATTTGTTGAGCTATAGGTTCTTGGTTGGTTCGTTCCCAGAGTTCCTTGTTGCTTATTCTTATTATTCTGGCCATCTGATCTTCAGTAGCGAGTGTAGTCCCACTAAATTCAAACCAGAAATAGTTGACCAGTCTAGGTAAAAGAAAATGAAATATTTGATCATCCTAAGAGGGTTAAGTTATATAAAGTGCTCTTGATATAGTTTTGAATTTTAGGAAACTGGAATTCACTTTAACAATAACGTCTAACCAATCCCTGAAGCTATATCTCAAACTCTATGGGCCTGTGTAACCTTACTGAACGAAAACTTAACAATTAGTTTGTAGAGATTAGTGGTAATCGGTAAAAGTATTCGTTTGTGCAAAGGATGCTTTCAATAGTATCTTGATACCAAGTAAATCTATCATCTGAGGCTAATAAAAATGTGTGGGTCTGAAACTGTAAAATTGTTTATTCTTTATTATCACACGGATAAGATTTGTAAGTCAACATCTTGTTTGCATATCATGATCACCTATACAAGTCTGTGACTTTGGTCAACTAATAGTTGAAATATAATTCAAGACATCAGAACAAATAAGGTATAATTCTGATTTATCTTACTACACTCCGCATTAAACTATCATTGTAACATGTGATTTAGTGAATCATCAATATTATCAATCGCCTAATATAATAATGACAAATAGATGTTCAAAAATAAGACATTTCAAAGTAAACATCTCAAAAACTCTGAGGTACAAAGCACACCTCTAAATGCCTGTGCAAATAACTATCCCAGTTAACATTAAACTTAGACGTCTGTGACAACAAACTATCCAACAGAGATCGAGTAATTCAGCCCTGTATAGAAAAAGGAAATTACAAGTATCATTATAACAACTGACACCCGTAACACAAGAGATGGTTATCATCATGCCCCCAGTGGCTTATTAGATAACAGTCTGGAGTATTAAGTGAAGAGTACTATGTTCGAGCCTCAGTGGGGACAATATTACTCACTAGGGTGCAGGTACATCCAACTGACGAGTCCTGACTAGGACGAAACGCACGTCCTAGATTCGTCTACTAGTCATCAAGATCAATATAAAACTATATACTTATACTGGAGAAATTGATCAATTAGCACAGGCTAGTAAAGTATACTAACAATTACTATTATTATTTTCCCGATTTAAGTCGTTTTGTACTGTCACAGTGAATTGGAAACAGCAATACAGCACACTAGAGAAAAAATATTTCAATAGTACAATAAATTTGTTGTGATTCATTACTTTCTCTATTGTCGAAAACACGTTTTAACAAATAAACGACAAAGATGAGTGAATAAATTCCAGGGACTTTAGTAAGTTAAAGGAGTTATGCCTTTAGTTGTTATTTGTTTGGAAGCTTTCGATAAGAAGCCCTTATCCACTTAGGTTTCACGTTTGTGGACACTTGTCAGGATGATGTATGAACAACCTTGAAGGAAATGATGTCTTCTGTACAATCCGAACCCGTCTCACCGATTGTTATGGTCAACGACATTACAACTGGGCCATTCAAGCTATGTTTGATCTCCTGTTGGATTGCATTATATTACATTCTTTTGTCAAGCGTTAAATCAAGTGATAAATTTTGGTTGAAAGTGTACGATTCAAGTAAGAACTGTTTCGTACTTGTGCACAATTATAACGGTTTGCCAAATTAATCAGATACCAAAAACTACCTTTCTTCAACTGAAGAATTTAGTCAAGATTCCCTAGTCCCTAATGTATAAAATTATTATTTTTTTGTTTGGAGTGATATTTAGAAGTGAATGGATCGAATCCCACTTTCGTAAGACATTTTGAAGACGTTTGAGAATTTTTCATTGTATCTTCCTATTTGTTCAGCTGTGTATAGCACTTATATAATCCGCATATCAGTTGACATATAATCAAGTTGAAGACTTTGTTTTGCTTGAAATATCTGGTTGAATTCTAGAAAAGAAGCTGAGTACAACCTCAAGCTATATAAACCAGGTCAATTACGCGAATAATGGTTATAAGACAGTTTCATAATCTCAAATTTATCGTATACTTCGTTAGGTGATAGCACCAGCATTTCATTACGAATCAAAACATTACAATTTATTTCGTCAGGAAAGCACAGTGATGCATTTTATTGGCATCAGTTGTATCGATGTGATGAAAATAATTACATTAAAGGTAGGACTTGAGCCCTATGATAAGGTCTGATTCCATTTTAGTCTGTTCTTCATATTTATCCTAAAGTGAAACAGTATTAGGTACAGGACTATGTTTCAAGCACAATTTATTGTTCATAATCATATCATGATAACTACCAAATTTTCTGTTTGGAGATATGTGGAGATTTATTCTCTATAAGGTAGTATTCATCATGGACTGAGATTAGTTGGAGAACCACTAAAAACCTGGAGGCACTAGACAAATGTTTCATCTGATTGTGTCATTCCTATGATTTGAGAGACAAATGAAATAACACTTTGGGCTAATGAGTATTGAGGTGGACATTTATCACTTTGCATTGTGGCTAGTTTACTTCAGGATGAAGAGGTGATTGTGAATTCCCAAATCGGATAAAGATCTCAATAAATGTCTTCTTATGATATTTTGACGAAGCAACTTTCAAATGTAAGTGCCTCTTCTTACACCGCCTTAATTCAAACGATTGCCTTGTCAACATTAGCTTAAATAAACATCTTTTCAAGTTTTTTGTTGTAGTTGAAAGTAGTAGTAGTAATAGTAGTAGTAGTAACGGTGAAACTAAAACTGACGAGAAAAAACTCATTCAAAAAAAGTGTTTTGTGATTCTGTTGCATAAACGTAGCTAGATAGATGATTGGTCAATTTCAGGTTATATTACTCTTTGGTCAAATTCAGTTTACCAACGAATAACCAGATTTGATTCGTAGTATTATGTAGCATAAAACTGTAAACTTTATTGTTTGTATAAAAATATATTTTGTTGAGAAGACATATTGAGTTATGTGTAGACCACTATTCATTGCTGGTCTCGATTTTCTTCATTTTCCATTCGTTTGATATTTTTGTTCCATAATTATCTTCGTCAGAATATACGCGTAAAGTAAAAATCAAAGAGAAAAAAGTGTTCTTGTACACTACTTATAGTGGAACAGTCCAAATTCGAGAACATACTTACATTTATACAAATATAATTAAAGCTGAGTAAAAATTCTTAATGAATCAGAATATACCGACAACTTGTTCCAATTTCATTCAACAGATACCAACACAATATCCCTTTATCATTGACTCTAGGTCAAGAGCACAATTTCATTATTGTCTACCTTCACAAGCGGATCAAAATAACCCTGAACTTAAAAAAACTATTGATGAGACAGTGATTGTTTATGAGTCACCTACCGAACATAAAACTTTATCAAATGAAACTTCAATTCCATTATCTGGATTATATGATGATCCACTGAATATACCAAATCAAAAGATGAATATATCGTTAGACAAACGTCTCACTTCTTCAAGTCAAACACCTAATGAAAAATTATCAACAATTTTATCTAGTGATATTTTACAAAGTATTGAAAATAAATGTTTAACAATGAACAATGATAAAATTGAAGGAAAAGAGGAAGAAAATCAACAATCAACTCTAAATGATAATATAGAGAAATATGAAAGAGAAACATGGGATTCAAAAATTGATTTCTTATTGGCTGTTATTGGTTTCGCTGTTGATTTAGGAAATATATGGAGATTTCCATTTATTTGTTATCGTAATGGTGGAGGTAGGTTCTCATTTATGATTGACTGTACACTAAGGATTATTGATAACGATAAACTAGTTACATTTATTACACATTTAAGGGGATAGTTCACTTATTAGACTAAACAACATTTATTAAGTTACATTTCAGGACTCTTTTTTCTAACTAAAGTAACCGGTTAGCTTCATTTTTTTCTTGTTCTAAACAGATTTCTATAGTATGAATAAAAGGTATTACAGATTTGTTGATTGTAATAGTTGAGTCTTAGAATGATTATCTACTAACTGTGATCTAAGGGATCATTGAAAGTTAAAAAGTGAAATTAAAGTGTTCATGTTTACGGTTGTAGACGCAAGATTACACCAATACTCTTTTCTCTCTTTATCTCCGTCTATTAAAACAAAACAAATTATAAAAAAGGTGCTCAACTATGACTTCTGAAATTATGACTTATGATGTGAATTGTTATAACTATTCAGTTAGTCAATAAATGTAAATGCATACTTTTAATATCGACGTAAATGAAAAACTATTTACTTTATTACACAAGTACTACTGATGGTGAATTGACATGAAATGGATTATTCAAAATTATTTATGAATGGTTACACAGCTTGATTCAAACAATAAACAAACTACTAAATGACCTAGAACATTTATGCTTTAAAACATACTTGATTCAAGGTACAATGATAAAATTTAGACATTGTGTTGTTTTGTTTGTGAAATTTTGTCACAGTGAAACAATACTATTTACCGGACAATGTTCATATAATCATTTTACAGTAAATAACTCAGTATCCCAGTGTGAAATTCCTCACTAACTAACTAATATAAAATCACTATACGGTCATGGCTTCATAATAATTCCGTTTCACTGACGTGACTTTGTCAAACAAAGGTTATCGTTCTTAGAATATAAACAGTAAATATTATTATTGAGACAGCAAGAGATAGTTAAGTCGATTAACTAGTAACTAATCAAAATTATATCCAATCAGATGATAAATAAAATAGCTATTTGAAGTAAAAGTATGGTTTACACTATCTCGCACTTAGTGTTCAGAGAGAATAGACTAGAAGTTAGCAATACAGTCATAAATAATGTCACATAAATGAGAAAATATATCGAAAAACCGGTTCAACAGTCACGCTAGTCGCTAAATAAATCCAACTGTCAAGGATGAAGAAGTATTCACACGAATTTCAAGGTCGTCTGGAAAATTGATATATATTTTAGACTTCATACAGTTCCTGTCTTTCAACAGTTTAAATAAAGAAAGGAATAGTAACTTTAGTATGTATGCTTTCCGCAGATTCTCTTCAGCTGCTTCATAACCTATAGAATTTCGTCTTTATGATGAATAATGTATTACATACAACACACATTATCAAATCAACAAAATCTTGTACAAACTGAGATGCCAGGGAACAAAGATTCAGGTTGACCGACATTGAACAAGCTTTCAACACTGCTCACTACTTATACAGTGATAGAATAAACATTTGAGAGAAGATAGTAAAAAACCTATTATTGTACATATCCTTGCATATAAATGGGAGTGGATTGTACACATTGTTATTCTAGAATTAGTGAGAAAGGATATCATGATTAAGTAAACGTAGTAAAAGATCTACACGTTTTTATTATATTGAATAATGAGATGAATACAAGTGAGAAAGTGAGAGTATGTTTTGAAATAGATTGAAAAATAAAGTGCAGAATAAAGAAGCATCAAAGGGTAGTAAAATCGTGTACTTACGAATTACTGAGGTAATGCAAGATTGACAACAGTATCTTTCTGATCATAGAAAATGTGGATTTTATTTAAAGTTCAACAGCTTTTTCCCAAGCAGTTACAAAAAGTGCCTAGTAAGAAAACTTTTCGACCGTACGCGTTAACTGTAGTGGGAAGAAAATAACCATAATGGACTTACTTTTGTCGAAAACTGTCTACAGGCAAAATTACCTACTAAACTTCATTGACAAGTACGATAAGACAGAAGAGAAACGAATTAAGTGCAGTTCTGTTGATAAGAGGCTCATCAATCTATATCTTGCCTTCTAAGGAGATGAAATCATCCCAAAGATGAGTCATAGACTGCAATAAAAGTCATCTATCCAACCGCTAAGCTAGTCTGTGTATTTCAGACTAAATCCTAATTTTATCAGTCCAGGTTGGACAAATTCTCAACTCTTGTTACCTTCAACTGTATCTACCAGTTCACATATACCCACCAAAGCACATACACTGGAAGAACAGTGAGAAGTCATCTTGTTTCCATTTCTGAACAAATCCCAAAGAATTTGAGACTTAAGGGTTCATACAGCTTACATAGTCCAGTCACCCCGTACTTACCTGATACTAGAACTAAAGTCTACTGATTAAAGTCATTTGAAGTGATCAGTATACAACAGAAACCCACTTTTTCGCAGTTTTTTCAACTAACTGTAATTTAAAGGCTCAAACCTGATCCATTTATCCAGAAAGATACTGTTGTCAATCTTGCATTACCTCAGTAATTCGTAAGTACACGATTTTACTACCCTTTGATGCTTCTTTATTCTGCACTTTATTTTTCAATCTATTTCAAAACATACTCTCACTTTCTCACTTGTATTCATCTCATTATTCAATATAATAAAAACGTGTAGATCTTTTACTACGTTTACTTAATCATGATATCCTTTCTCACTAATTCTAGAATAACAATGTGTACAATCCACTCCCATTTATATGCAAGGATATATACAATAATAGGTTTTTTACTATCTTCTCTCAAATGTTCATTCTATCACTGTATAAGTAGTGAGCAGTGTTGAAAGCTTGTTCAATGTCGGTCAACCTGAATCTTTGTTCCCTGGCATCTCAGTTTGTACAAGATTTTGTTGATTTGATAATGTGTGTTGTATGTAATACATTATTCATCATAAAGACGAAATTCTATAGGTTATGAAGCAGCTGAAGAGAATCTGTGGATTATATGCTTGTATTGGTATCAGTTCACCTGCCTCAAGGTTAAAACTAACTTTAATGTTGGAAGAATATGTTACATCCTGGAATTAACAAAGTTTTTTAGAGTTTAACAAATTTCACTTGGTTTTTTTCCTCTCTTTCACGAAAGTGACATTGTGAATTTTAGCTAAGGCATTCACAACACCTACCGATTGGCTATTTGAAAATAGTTAGCGGAATAATAATTTACGGGAGCTGGAAAAACCTCTACTGCGTGGTCTATCTCATCTGCATGTTACTAAAAAGGAAATCCTTATTGATGATTCTATCTTCAGGGAAATATCATTCAGAGTCTGAATCCTTTCATTAGCAGGATGAGATGCTTCATAAGTTATCTTGACAAAACTTTCAGCTTTGAGAAGAATCCTGGATAGGTGGAAGTAAAATTTCGTAGTATAGAACTTGGTAATCAGGTAAAAAACTTTGTCAAAAAGTTGATCAAAAAGGCTGCTTTATGTTCACAGTTTGGATCCTTAAATGTATGTAGAATAGTTGGAGATAAAGCTTCTACAACATTTTTCTTTCACACCGTATATGTTACAAATGTCTTTCTGATCCATCGAATGGGTTTGAAAAAATAAATACTAGCAAATTCTATTTATACAATCTTTTGCTCCATCTCTGTGCTCGAGATGGGTTTCTTACTACCCAAATGTAAATTTTTGCTTCATGACCGGTCTTCAGTGGTGCCCCTTCAAACAATAGGTATTAAAATGGTTCAGGAAATTGGCCACTTCACTGTCCAGGAAGCAGAACCAGCCACAGTGCACTAATCAGTGACCTCTGAAGGAATACGAAAGACTTCATTAACTTCTACCAATTTACGCCATCTATGAAGCCGCCATGGTTTCTAAATTTCTATTAAGGGTCAAGTGTACTACGCTGTACTTCTACTGTATGACTGTGAAACATGACCATATAAGGTAGCGGACATGGAATAACTTCAGGTGTTTAACCACCATTTCGTCTGCAGCGTATACCGTGTATCATAGTGTCACTACTTCAGTAGTGCCGAAGTAAGGTGTAGTCTTTTAAGGAGAAAAGGAAAACGGATTAATGAGATTGTGAACCTTCATTGACTCAGGTGGCCAGGACATGTATTAAACATGCCAAGACACTATCTTCTTTTCCGCATAATTCAAATTGAAGTAGGTTTAGGCTGGATAAGAGTTAGGGGTGACTAGGTTGAACATGGTGTCACTGGACGGGATCTGGGATTGTTAGTCTTAGACGTGTAGGGTATTGTTGACTTACCATCTGGGGTGCGTGTGGCAACAGATACCAGTGGTTTGAGGCTCAAGGTGACACCAATCAGAACAAATGTCAGGGATAAAGATGCATCTGTGTATTAACCTTTCAGTATTCTCTTGTTCTTCCTTTATATCTTACTGTGACTTTCAACCACTTTTGGTGACTTTCTTCTTTGTTAGTTCATCCTTCATCATAGTGCTTTCTAACTGGATGTGCTGATAGGTGTGGTAACTCGAACCGTTACACAGCAATGTCTAATCCTATATTGTTAGTGATGATAACGTTGGAAATGTAGAATATAAAACAAATATTTCGAAGATGACTTCAGAAAGGCAACGTTGGGCAAGATAGAGGTATTTCATTTTTAATGAATGTGACGTTTATGGAAAGTTACCACTGAAAAATACTTTCTTTATGCCAGTGTCTACCACATTTCATCTACTGCTCATCTATTATTCTCCTCAACCTAACTATTTAGACTTTGTTCTTAGTGCCATTCAAGTCTTTTAACCCTATAACATAAATCAAATGAATAGCTTTATATCGACGGAGGTTTGACAAGTTTCTTATCTAATTACTATCTTTCGTATTCAGTAATTTAATCACTAGCCCTCCGGATTACTGTCAAAGCTGAATTTTTGTCGAGACATTCTATGAAGTATTTCTTACTGATGTCAAAATGATTATTGTCCAGCTAAAGGATTACAGTATTCTGAAGAGAAAATTGTCTGTGCTAATCTTTTCTGCTCCATA